CCAAACTAAAAACTAAAAATTTATAAATAACCATACCTGGGTAATTCCACCAATAATCGACACAAGACGGTGGGGTCACCCTCTCCGGTTTGGCTGAAATTTTACACACATGTTGTACTAGAGAAAAAAACATGATTGTCAAATTTTCAGACCTTAATATTCAAAATGGCGGCCGTGGTGCGCTATTGAAGTTTCACGCTTTTTATCAATTTTTTTTTTCGTGTTTCGCCGATTTTTTTAGTACAGCGAGCTAAATATGCTTAAACAAATATCCACTATATGTTTTCCAATGTAAAATTTCCCGCTGAACATGATTTCAGTATCAGAATTGTCATATGACGTCATGTAAAGCCACAAAATACGAAACAAAGCGCTTTTTTTGAAAAATTCATATCTCAAAAACACCCTCTTTAATTTTTTTCAAATTTTCACAAAAGACGCCTTAATACAAGTACTTTCGAATAAAAGTTGTCTCAGAAATCCTTTTTATATGTTTGAAGCCGCTGCACCCTATAAGAGTCCAAAAAAACGCGATTTTCACACCTTTTTTAGCGCTTTTTTCCTTCGTTTTTCAGCTTCCAAATAACTTTTAGAGGTTTTCCTGACAACGAATTCGAATTCTACGGAAAATTTTACACAAAAAATGACTATTTTGAATTTATTTACCACTGATTTTACCGTTTTATAGGGGGCGACACAGTGTTAAACGCAGAATTGCGCGCCGTAATCAATACATTTTTTGTTCTAGGATTTTATTATTATACATATTATAATATTTGTTTGTCCATATACACAAGGGTGTGTGTAATATACGTATATATAAAGTATGTATTACTTTATTAGAATACTTACAGTAATGTATATATTTGAAATTCTCTAATTACTATATTCACCACTAGGCGGCGTGTTTCCCACTGCTGGCTATATAAATAAAAATAAAAAGGTTTATTGCCCTAATTAATATTTCGGAGTCCTGGGTTTCTGTTTTTTTGTCTAATACAACATGTGTGTAAAATTTCAGCCAAATCGGAGAGGGTGACCCACTGACTTGTGTCGATTATTGCGGGAATTACCCACCTATCACCGTAAATCAGAAAATGTTTATATGTTAGGCCATAAACTAGTAAATAATATTAACTATAAATTTTTAGATCCCTGACTTAATTTCCTCCTCTGTCCTCCTGCTCCTTTTTCTTCATCACCCAAGAAATCAGACAGTGTACTTCTCTCCTCTCAACATTATGTTTACAATATTTCTTTCATCCAGCCCGAAACCTATTCGCCTCTCGAAATCTCCCATCTCATTTGCCCATCTCTGGCAATTAAAAATGTGGGCGGAAGCGTCCGGTACCCCACAAACAGTACAGTCTGTCAAGGCAGATTTGCCTATTCTATTTGTGAAGGTGCCAAAACTATCATGTCCGGTCAGAAACTGCATCAGGAAGTAGTCTAGTTTCCTGAACTTACATTCCCACCACGTTGTCAGATCGGGAATAAGCTCCTTCGTCCACCATGCCTTTCCACTATCATTCGCCCATGCTCTCTGCCACTCTACTCTCGTTCTTTCTCTCTCAATCTCATGTATATTTACATCCATCCTCGCTCGCTCTTTACACAACAAAACGATCGGCATCACCGCTCCAATGACATGTAGAACCTCATTCGAGACTGTCCTATATGCGCTAGATACCCTGAGGAACATTCGCCTTTGCGAAGTCTTCATCAGCTTAGCGTATTTCGCAATGTTTAGTATACTACACCACACAGGGGCAGCGTAGGTTACTACCGACTGGAAAATTTCATTTAGCACCTTTCTTTTGGTGCTTCCTGGGCCTCCAATGTTCGGCATCAACGCCTCAAGATTTCGGTTCAATGGCTTTTCGGCCTCAATGTTTAATTGATTTAACTGGTGCAACCTCCACAACTTCCACTATAAAGCGAAGAGAGGATTTTTCCCGGGTCCCTTTGAGAACTAACACCTCAGTTTTCTGAGGCGCTAGCTGTAGATCGTTCTCTCTGATCCACCTACTAATGCGACGCAGGACTGTATTAGCCATGTCCGTTTTGTCGAGATGATCGGCATTAGCCATGGAAAATACAATTACTTTGTAGTAATAGGTTCCATCGTTCCGGTGACAGACAGGTAATAGGTTCCGGTAACCTATTACTTTTGTCGCCTATTACCCAAGCTGCAAGCAGCTCCATTCCGCTTGGCTTGCTATTTATAGTTTCTTGTAGAATATCTTTTTCAATAAACGAATACTTCCTACTGTTTATACGTTTATAGTTTATTTTTGTTTCAACCGTGAGTGAATAAACTACTTAATATTATTAAAGTACAGGCACTCGAGAATTTATTTTTGCATTAACTACAAACAACTACACTAGAATAAGGACAAGCAAATCTACTAACATACTATAAAAAAATAAACATAGTCTCCGTCTTAATAATCGTACGTGCTTACTGTGGTATTCCCAGCTATTTAAGTGGCAAAAAATAAAGCTCCGTCATAAAGCTCATCATAAATTCGGTGACAATGACCATCCTATTCTATTATCTATACAGGTTGGGCAAACGATTCTCAATTCCCATCGTTCGATGTTGTCACGTCAACATATCGAATGCCGATTCGAATACCACTGCTTTTAACGTTATAGTTACACTGTGACAAAAGTAATATGCAGTTTGCTGTAACCTATTATTGAAAAAACGAATACTTATTGGTAATAGTGTTATTTATCCGAATACGTTGTATAACGCCCATCTTTAATCGGTATAAGCTACAAGAGTACATCCCCTTGGCATCTGTACATTCCCTCGACACCCCCCTCGTACAGGACATTTCACAGGATGGGACCTAGTACTAAACCCTGCTGAACACCCTGTGACAAACTGATGCTGGTATCTTTTTCTCTTATGGACCTGTCAGTAAAGTATCTGTCAATTACGTTGACCAGGCAATTCTCTAAGTCTGGACATGATTTTTTCCCATGATGCCGTATTAAAAGCATTCGTGACGTCGAACAGGATGAGAGCTACCCATCTCTTTCTATCCTGAGGTTACTTCTGTGACCGCATCTATGGTGGACCTTTTGAATATCGATCTTAAAGTGTAGCGTTTTTTTATTTAATGTGTATATAAAAGATTTCTGTAGTACGTTCCTGTTGTTTTTACCAAGAAAACAATCGAAAAAATATTTCAAGTTTTTTTTGACGAGATTTTTAAATGCGTATTAACGCTGGAAATATGTTTTATCTCTGTGTTGCAATGTTAGGTGAAACAACAAGTTTTTTGTCGCCAAAGAGGTATTATGTTACATGAAGTCCCCCTAATATTCCGGTTAGAATAATCAATAATGCGTATATTTCTACCGATTCAAAAGTAAATATAGATGTTTTTTGTCTGTGTTTAGATTCAAATATCGAACCTTTTGTTACAAAGTCAGGTAGAACTCCGGTTTAAAATACGTGCTATTTTGTTAATTTGTATTATGTATATCTATTTCGACGAAGTTTTTTTGTATATAAAGGGATTATAATTTATGATGCCTCCTGATAAAAAAAAGGTTTTATTTGTCTTTCATCGTTAGGAACGAATAACAAGGGGAAGATTGTTTGTTTTAAGTTTGTGGACGACAGGCTAGCTGTAAGACGGAAGGGAAATTTTTTGGCTTGGAATTTGTAAAATGTAACGCGGAAAAGGAGTCGACGATTAGATTTGAAGCAGAGCAGACGTGCTACAATGTGAGTCCAAGAACCTATTTGAAACGGTGGTAGACGCTTTTTGCGGATGTGAAATGTTGGGCCATTTTTAAATCAAAGAGGATTCAATTTCTTTTGAAATGTCTTAGGACCGGTCAATGATAATACTATCAGATTTGAATAAATATCGGAAGCTTCTAAGAAGTATGATATAGGATGTCCCCGTAGTCGGCTTGATTCTTCCACCAAGTTCCTGTTCCAATCGTTTTGCCCTGGAGTGTAGAACTAGTTCCTGATGGTTGCTGCCTTCCAGTTTTGAAAGTTTTGTCCGAGTAGCTTCCCCAGAGATGTAAAGTTTCAAAGTGTTTGTATAAAAAAAAAACATTAAGGTAACAATTCAATATATTAATTTTTCAAAGTAAAGACAGATATTTTTTGGCTAAAGTAATAATTGCTTTCATAACAAATTAAAAAATTGTAATATGTATGGTTATGCTGTTAATACTTTTGTTCTTTGTCATCAAAATTAAATGTGATATTCATATATAAGGTTAAATTTTATTATGTTTTCATTAACAAGGATCCTTAATTTTTGATAATCTAATTGGCCATAATATAACCTAGAAACCATTTGAATTTTTGTAACAATCTTTGATGTAAACTAAGACATGTAAGTTTTGTTTATTTTGTTTTATGATATAGTATGTTTGTTTTGTAACCCATAATTTTGATAACTGTTTGTTAGAGACAAAAATAAATGTTTAATTTGTTTCTCTGATCTATTTTGAGTTTTATTTGAAAAAGATATTTTTTTTCTATATTTTTGATGTTCTATAATTATTTCCCTAGTTACAACTAGTGGTTGTAATAGGTATGATTAGGCACCTCAAGTGGCGCCCTATATTAAATTTCTTGAGGTGTTTCCGTTTATTTTCATTCTGTTTGTCCCAAGAGATTTGTATAAGTACCCCTTTATATATTTTTTTTGTAGTTGCCCAATCCAACCCCCAATATCTTCAACTTATCCACGTCCCAGCTCTCCAACAACCAACTGAGTGCCGTATGCACTTGTTTCGATTATTTTGTTTGCCCAATCTTGTCCCCCCATATTCCTACCCTGTGGTAAGCAAAATAGTCGTTACAAAAGACGAATACTTTAAAGAGCAGTAAAGCTGACTTTCCCTTCAATTATTTGTGTAAAACGAACAAAATTATTTCAGATTTGGTGTCTTGGAGAGATGTATATTATATTAAAAATACTTCATGTTCTGGGATTTTTAGAAATAAAAGGAACAACAATATTAAATATCTTTATTTCCTAGAAAAATTACTAAAATATAGGCAATGGTTGCTTTTGTCCCTTGTACTTATCTTTGTACTTTAATCCTGTAACAATTGTAGAGCTCTTAGGGAATGCAGTTTTTCCTCCAAACATTGTATCGGTATCTGAAAAGATAATATTGTCAATTTTGATATAGTTTGATCAAAGATAAGCAAACAATTTATTTAATTTATAATTTTCTTATCGATAGAAATCCAAACACCCATTATAAAATATTTTATTTTAATAAAATTTGGTATAGAGGCTTATCTTGGCAAAAAATAAATGATTAGAATTTCAGCCATATCAGTTTTGGTTTCGTTTTTAGTTTATTTTGTTCTAAAATTCTTAACCACTAAAAATTGTAACTTTTAAGTTTGATACCGATCAAAATATACCCGTGTGCGTTCTTGGTTTTTATTTGTAAATTGTTTACAATGCCTAATGCCTAGAGTACGAAGAAGGGGAGATTTCCATCAACAGCGAGTTTGATTCGGGGCGGATAGTTGGCCTAAGAGAAGCCGGACTTTTGTTTCGGAAAATTGCGAATAGGGTTCACAGAACTTTAGATACTGTGTGAAGATGTTATCGGACATGGATTCAAGAAGGCCGATAACGAAGATCGAGGGCACATGGCGGCACCGAAGACCAAATTGGAATACCAATTGGCATACGAACAATTTATCGTCAAATTCGCAGTTTTGGCCTTTATTCATTTCGACCACCCTGAATATTGTCGTAATCGTCTTGAAGTCAGAGCTACCTCCAATCTTTGTCTTAGGGAACATACCTACCATAAATATTCTACCTTCAGACACTCCAAAATCAAATTTTTCAGCATGATTATGCAAGGCTACACATTGAGAGAGTCACCATGGACTTCTTTGAACAAGCTGGAGTTAATCTTTTGACCTGATAATCGAGATCCCCAGATTTATCTCCAATTAACAGGTGTGGGACATAATAGGTCGGAGACTTCGGAATTTGGATCATCCTCCTCGAACTATGAGAGAACTTCGGGAGGAGTAAATTAGGGCATGGAAGAAATCTCTCATTGGAGAATCAGATTTCTCTCTCCTGATGTCATCCAATATGTAGCTTCGTCGAATTATATAATAATTTTTAAACCGTTTGTCCTTTGTGTAGTGTTGTGTTAATGTGCTCGATATCTGCCTTTTATTTGATTAAAATTCATTTATTCGAGCATTCAACCTTATATCGCAAATTTTATTGTCTACTGTTTTAATTAAGGTCTTTGACTCCAAAGGCAACATACATGAAGCTCGTGCACTGTTGGACAGTGATTCGGAAAGTAATTTCATCACTCAACGCTTACTTAACACTTTGAAATTACCCACAACTGCAATTGATTTTTTGGTCTATAGCATAAATCAAACAAATTCTGTGGTTCATCTTAAAACTTCTCTTACCTTCAAATCAAATACAATCAACTTTACACGTACAATGTCTTGTTTAGTGATGCCTGAAATAACTGGTAGACTGCCTTTTATCACACTAAATAGAGAATCTCTAAACATTCCCTCTAATGTTACACTCGCCGATCCACACTTTAATGTTTCGTCTCCTATAGACATTTTAATCGGTAGACACATTTTGGAATCTTTTATGCTTTGGTCAAATTAAGCTTTCACGTGGTCAACTAACTGTACACAAAACTAAGCTTGGCTGGATTGTATCCGGTCCTATACCTTTTCTTTCTCGTAACAAAACAAATTGTTTCTAGCAACACAAATCTCGAAAATCAGTTACAGAAATTCTGGGAACTTAAAGAATTTCCAAAAACCAAGTTCTTTTCTGAAGAACTTCAATGTGAGAATCACTCTACAGAGACTACTTCCTTTGATTCTACAGGCAGATTTACTGTCTCTCTTCCTTTAAATTTACCTCTATCAAATCCTGGTAATTTGCAAAAACGATTTAACATGTGAGGAAATAGCTTGTTCTCCGATTTGTCTTATTCGCATTATGCAAAATCAATTTTCCTCTGATTATCCTCACACATCTCAAAAAACATGGCAAGGTCGATCATAAAAGCAACTTATCACCCTGAATCCATATCTTGATCAAGATGATATAATTCGAGTTGGTGGAAGAATTCGCAACGCTGACATCTCATATGAGAGAAAGCATCCCATCGTTAATCACAAAAACATCATTTTACAAACATACTTGTACGGCATGAACACATGAAATTACAACATGCTGGTCCACAGCTACTTTTATCTTCCTTGCGAGAGCAATATTGGCCTCTCAATGGACGCTATGTCGTTAGAAAGGTTATTAACGTTCCTTTAAAGGACCGTCTTACAAGAAACTACAAGACTATTAAGAGTTATATACCACTTTTTATTTGTCTGGCCACAAATTTTATTTGGATAAATGCACTTCTATTCTTTCCGATTACGGGAGCACCTTTAAGGGTGCCAACAATGAACTTTCCAACTTTTTCAAGACTAACAATTCTGACTTACATAACAACACTCTCTTCTGAGGATATCGATTGGAAATTCATTCCACCGCGTTCACCTCATATTGGTGGTGTCTGGAAAGCGGGGGTAAAATAGGTAAAATACCATCTTAAACGAATCATTAGTAATACGGTTCTCCGGTTTTGAGTCAAATTGAAGCAATTCTCAATTCCAGACCACTTTTTCCTATGTCTAATGACCCTCAGACCTACTTCCTCTCACACTTGCACATTTTCTGGTTGGATCACCTATCACATCAGTTCCTGACCGCAAACTGTTAGATGTAATGGAAAACAGATTGAGCAGATTTCAAAGGGTGCAGCAAATGGTGCAATGTTATTGGACACGATGGTCCAAAGAATACGTCTCTTCTATTCAGCAACGTGTCATGTCGAATAAACAAAGCAGTTGTCTTCTCAACATTGGTTCCTTAGTACTTTGTTAAAGAAGACGAACTGGAACCTCGTAGATGAGCCTTAGATAGAGTGACTGACATCCATTCCTGCAGTGACGGAATTGTGCGTAGTGTAACGCTAAAAACAAAATCTGGTGTATACAAACGTCCAGTTGTAAAGTTATGTGTGTTACTGAACAAAAATCAACTATAGTTTTTTTGTGTTTTGATAAACTTTATAATTTCAGCTCAATATTGACTTGTGAAGTTTATACATTTGAGTTTTTTAACCCCTTATGGCGTTCAAAGCGGGCGCTTATGTTAAAACTTAAATGACCTGACGACGCCCCTGTCGTCTTTTACATCTCGGCGAAGGTAAGCTTTTTGCGAAGGTAAGATAAGAGGTCCCGGCCACGGCTAATCTTGAAGACATCTGGCTGAAATCAACCCTCCGATCGGAAAAGACATGCTATTTAAAAACGTTTAACAAGCAAAATTTTTACATTTACATAGAAGTATTAAACACTTTCATTGTGGTCTTGAATTCTTTACTAAAACTACGAGAGGTCCTAATAACATTAATCAACAAGTAAATGGAAGAATTCAAGATTCCGTTTTCTACTGAACAGTTACCATCATTCCGATCAAGTTCATTCTGATTTGTGGCAGTTTTCGTTCAGCCATTGTAATATATCTGCCATGGTCTATAAAGTCAAAGTACATATGACCATCTCATCCACTTACCTCAGGTTGTTAATAATTCGACAGAATCATACAAGAAATTAAAACGGCAGTCAAATAAAAGCTGGACGGAAACAAATAAAAATCGCTTGTTATGCAAACGACGTAATTGTGATATCAGATAATGAAGATAACCTACAAACAGATGGAAGAAAAACATCACAGTATTATTTTTAAAATATCCAAAGACTTCAAGTTGACAGCAAATATTAAATGGAAGTATTGGAGAAAATTGGAGAAATATAATACTGATGTGCTAAAATCTGAAGACGCTAGGGATAATTACAGGAAAATTTTAAATGAAGAGCTGACTAGAATCGACGAAGATTTAAGTATAGAAGAACACTGGGCCAAATGCAAGGAAGCTATCCATGCAGCGGCTAAAGGCTTTTTAAAACCTAACCAAGCTAAAATAAACGAAGAATGTAGATCCATTAACCAACAGAAAAATGAAGCATATAAGAAACTTCAGCAGCGCAGAACGGGATCAAACCTGGAAGACTATGAAAATCTTAGACGAGAAGAAAAAAGGACGTTTAGAAGGAAAAAAAAAGAGCAATACAAAAACGCTCTAAACGAGATTGTTAACCACCACAATAAAAAAGACTCGCCAAAATTCTACCAGAAGATAAACAGCTGCAGAAAAGAATTCAAACCCAGAATAACAGCATGTAAAGACAGAGATGGTTCCATAATTAGTGACAAAGAACAGATACTAAACAGGTGGGCGAATCATTTTGAAGAACTACTTAGCGACAGCCGTGAAGAAGACCAAATTAGATATTACTTTGCCTGAAATGGATGAAAACGCTCAAGAGCCGCCCCCCACCAAAGAAGAAATTAGATAGAGAAGCCATTTCAAAACTGAAAAATAACAAAGCCCCTGGTTTGGACAATCTTCCTGCCGAACTCTTTAAAAATGTGGTGACAACCTTTTTAAACACATGCATAAATTAGTAACCGAAATCTGGCAACGGAATGAAACGCCCGCAGACTGGAAATTAGGTGTAATGCACCCTCTTCACAAAAAGGGAGATATGATGGTGTGTGATAATTATAGAGGCATCACCTTACTTAACGTGGCATATAAAGTATTGTCCAACGTATTGTACAGAAGATTGATCCCCTATGCTGAACAAATAGTTGGGAACTACCAATGCGGTTTCCGACCCAGTAAATCAATAACGCATCAAATCTTCACAGTCAGGCATATTCTTGAGAAAACGCTTGAGTTCGGAGTCGACACCCACCATATATTCGTGGATTTCAAAGCCGCCACTTAGTTCCACATTTTACTATGGAATCACTAACAGGAGAATTTTACTGTCATCATGTCATGTGTTTGTCTTTTTAAAGACGAATTACATGCTATGATTTTTTTCTGACGGATATTCTCAAGTTAAAGTTGATTTCATGTAATCGAATGAACTATCTTATAAGTAAAGTCGTCCCAGGAGCGCAACTCAACAATATTGGCAATATCATTTTGAAGTCGTCTACTTTAAAATGCATAATGTATGTCTGAATTGTCAATATAAATGAGTCAGATAAAATTAAATTATTAGAAGAATTTTTCACTATGTAACAAAAAACAAAATTTGTTTAATTTACTGTTTGTATTTTGAGAACGATTTCCGAAGTGGAAATTGAAACGTCAATAAACGTATTTTTATCTTTAATTGTGGCTTATTCCCAGTTTAATGGTAATTAATTTACAATGCCACAAGAAAATAGCTTCAGAACAATATTAATTGAAATTATTGTAAAACAAAAACTTACCAGCATTAAATCGGTTATATTCATACTGAACATTTAAATTTTCTGGTAAGTCCATGGATTTCATTCGTTCTAATGGTGTTCTAGTATCTACGGGCATGTTATAGAAAATTTGCACGTCCTTTAATGTTTTCATATGATGAAGTAACGAATTAGGAATACTATGGCCCAGTTTTTGTTCACATTGAGTGAATAAATTGAACTTTTGATTAAGATCTGTGAGTTCGGTAGATATATCTGTACTACCGACGACGGCCTGGAAAATTGCTTCTAACTTGGAATCAACATCTGCAGGTGGAAAATAATCTCGTTGTTGCCGCAAAAACCTAAAATAATCAATGTTGACATATAATAATCAATCAAAAGACTGATATTTTTTGTACCCACTGATGACAAGTCGAAAGAAAATGTAAAAAAGTATTTTTGAAGTGTGTATATTTTAGGCAATTCCTAGCTGAGCGCTTTCGGCTTTACAAAGCCATCATCAGAGCTATGCTACAATAAAATGTTCTTATAAGTACTAATTGGTAAAGATTATAATTTTTAACTTACGTCAATTTTTTAAATACCACTACAAAGGAGAGATCTCATTTCCTTATATTTCAAAATTATGATTTTTTTAGTTGTTGAAATTCTTAAAACATATAAAAAACATATAAAAAGCCGACACTGGACTTCACAAACACGTTAAAAAATTGAAAAAAAAAATTTTTTTGTCATGGTACGGGTGTAAGAACCCGACCATTGTTTGATCTGAGGAGGTAGACAGAATAGAACTAATGAAATCAAATGTCGGTCCTTTTAAACGATTTTTCAAAAGTGACAGTGACAAATGTCATATATAGGAAATAGAGATTGTTTTTTTAAATTCTTACAAAATTATTTAATAGTTTGGAATTACTAATAGTCATCAAAGACTTTCTAAAAATTAAGTTTTTAAATTAAATTTTATGTGTTCATCACATCATACAGAATGACATTAGTTTTTAAATTCACTCAAGTCATTGCTCAAGGTCAATTTATGTTCAATCTGACAGCCATCCTTAAGAAACAAGGGCTCAAATTGTTCAACAACAATATAAAGAAAAGACATGGTATTAATGTTACGTTATCTGATACTTAAGTGTATTGAGAATTGTATCTCTTGATGGAAATTTGTAAGAAATTTGCATAAAAAATTTTTTAAGAATGTATTTTCATGTTTCAATTAAGAATAACTGTCAAATGAATTACAAAATGTTGTAAATTTCTAATAAAGTTTAAAATTTGTTTAAAAATATAAAAGTATGAAAAAATATATAATAAGCTTGCATGAGATCACCCTTCTTCCTCTAAAGTCTCCCATAATAATTTAAAAAGAGGTTTATAATTGCAATTGAGGTTGATTTGTGTGTTTAAGCAACAATCAGGGTTTAGTTTCATTTCTTTGGATATCTTTTGGATTTCTTGGAAGATCTTGAGATATCCAAAGAAATGAAACTAAACCCTGATTGTTGCTTAAACACACAAATCAACCTCAATTGCAATTATAAACCTCTTTTTAAATTATTATGGGAGACTTTAGAGGAAGAAGGGTGACCTCATGCAATCTTATTATATTTTTTATAATTTTATATTTTTAAACAAAATTTTAAACTTTATTAGAAATTTACACATTTTGTAATTCATTTGACAGTTATTCTTAATTGAAACATGAAAATACATTCTTAAAAAATTTTTTATGCAAATTTCTTACAAATTTCCATCAAGAGATACAATTCTCAATACATTTAAGTATCAGATAACGTAACATTAATACCATGTTTTTTCTTTATATTGTTGTTGAACAATTTGAGCCCTTGTTTCTTAAGGATGGCTGTCACATTGAACATACATTGACCTTGAGCAATGACTTGAGTGAATTTAAAAACTAATGTCATTCTGTATGATGTGATGAACACATAAAATTTAATTTAAAAACTTAATTTTTAGAAAGTCTTTGATGACTATTAGTAATTCCAAACTATTAAATAATTTTGTAAGAATTTAAAAAAACAATCTCTATTTCTTATATATGACATTTTGTCACTTTTGAAAAATCGTTTAAAAGGACCGACATTTGATTTCATTAGTTCTATTCTGTCTACCTCCTCAGATCAAACAATGGTCGGGTTCTTACACCCGTACCATGACAAAAAATTTTTTTTTTCAATTTTTTAACGTGTTTGTGAAGTCCAGTGTCGGCTTTTTATATGTTTTTTTATATGTTTTAAGAATTTCAACAACTAAAAAAATCATAATTTTGAAATATAAGGAAATGAGATCTCTCCTTTGTAGTGGTATTTAAAAAATTGACGTAAGTTAAAAATTATAATCTTTACCAATTAGTACTTATAAGAACATTTTATTGTAGCATAGCTCTGATGATGGCTTTGTAAAGCCGAAAGCGCTCAGCTAGGAATTGCCTAAAATATACACACTTCAAAAATACTTTTTTACATTTTCTTTCGACATATAATAATCAGCAAGACGACCAAACAGTACGATAAGAAATTTATTTTATTAATAGTAGTCTTTGATAGATAGATCAGTTTTTTAATAGACCAGTCATGAAAATCTATCGGCCAATTTGGTTTCAAACATATTAGGTTTGAAACCAAATAATTATTATTTAATAACTATTTTAATAAATGCTTAATTGAAGGCCAAACTATTCCAGACGATTGGAATTTGGGCCACATTAGCCCCATTTATAAAAAGGGAGACAGGAAAGAGTGCGGAAATTATAGAGGCATTAGCCTAACTAGCTCGCTGGGAAGGTTATATGGTCGTATATTGAAAAGAAGAATAGGAGTATAAAGAAATTGAAGAACAAAGCGGCCTCAGAGCAGGAAGATCGTGCGTGGACAACACATTTACCCTTCAACAAGTAATTGAAAAACGAACAGCTCGAAACCTCCCTACGCATCTGGTATTTATAGATCTGGAGAAGGCTTATGCTACAGTTCCTTTAAAACTCTTATTTAGTGTCTTGACGAAAACGGACCTTAGTAAAACATATCTAAAAGCAATACTGAACCACATCAAATGTCTGAATCAGCCTCTGAAAATACTCCCAATGTTTTTGACAGTCCAACTATTGTTTTTGAGAATTCCACTTCTTCTTCTTCGCGTGCCATATCAGATTTATCCGACGTTGGCGATCATCATTGCAAAGGCTTCTCGATCTTCTGCAATATGGAATAATTGTCCTGCATTTGTTATATGAGTCCATTCACGAATGTTTTTTAACCAAGAAACTTATTTTCTTCCTATACCTCTACGGCCATCTATTTTGCCTTTAAGGATCAGTTGTAAAATTTTATATCGACTTCCCCTTACTATATGTCCCAGATAAGACATTTATCGATGTTTAACAGTCTTAAACAGTTCTCTGTCTTTGTTGACGCTCCTTAGTACTTCTTCATTAGTTTTTCTTGCTGTCCAAGTTATCTTCAGCATTCGTCTATGAACCCACATTTCCAATGCTTCAATTTTGTTCATGATCGATACTTTTAGCGTCCACACTTCTGCACTATACAAAAGTACAGACCAAACATAACACTTAACCATTCTTTGCCTTAGTTCTAAACTGAGATGGTTATTGCAAAGAAATGACTTCATTTTCATAAAAGTAGTTTTAGTCATTGCTATTCTACGTTATATATTCTATATTCTACGTTATTTCTATGTCTGGATCTAGTTGGTCCGTTATCACAGTTCCCAAATATGTCATTTTGTGAACTTTCTCAACTTGGACTCCGTTCAATTGAAACTTTGCATCGGGATGTGGGTCACGACTAAACACTAAAAATTTGGTTTTGTTTGAGTTTATTTTAATGCCCATTTCCTCTCCTACCTCGTAAATACGATCAAGCAGAATTTGAAGACCTTCAATATTATCTGATAGAATTACTGTATCGTCTGCATATCTAATCACATTAAGTAGTTCCCCGTTGATTTTTATTCCATGTGGTTGTCTCTCAAGTGCCTTTTTAAATAGCTGGTAACAATGTTGGCGACAAAATGCAACCTTGTCTGACACCTCGTTGTATGGTTATTTCATCGGTGCAGTTATCTCCCATTTTTACGATAGCAGTTTGATTCCAGTACACATTTTTAATGACACGAATATCCTTGTCATCTATTCCGATAATTTTCAGTATTTGCATTAATTTTACATGCTGTACTTTATCGAATGCCTTTTCGAAGTCCACGAAACATGATAATACATCTTTTCTTTGGTCACGGCATTTTTGTAATAGGATGTTTAGCGCAAAAAGTGCCTCCCTGGTTCCTATAGCATTTCTAAAACCAAATTGGGTATCTTCAAGATCTTCGCATTTGCGTCTAATTGTGTTGTGAAGTATTCTGAGGAAAATTTAAGAAAGTGACTCATTAGGCTAATTAATCGATATTCTGAGCATTTTCTCGCATTGTGTTTTTTAGGTATTGCGATAAAGGTGGATTTGGCCAATCTGCGGGAATCACTCCGGTGTTATATATTGAATTAAAAAGTCTTACTACTACTTTTATGTTATCATTCTCTATTAGTTTCAGCAACTCAGTTGGTGTATCATCTGGCCCACAAGCTTTTCTAATTTTAGCATTATTTATAGCATGTTCTACTTCGCATTTCATAATTTCTGGGCCGTCAGTACAGTTTTGGTAGAATTCGAAAATATTATTCATGTCATCTTCAAACAACTCTGATATATACAGCTGCCATTCTTTTCTTATTTCTTGCTCATTTACAATAATTTTGTTATAAGTGTCAACAAGTACAGAGGGAACTCGTTTTTTAAATATACAGGGTGATTGATTAGTGTGAGGAAGCTTAGTAGATCTGTTATAGTAAAAATTACTAAAAAAAAGTTATTAACAAAAATTTTAGGCAACTTTAAACTCCACATTTTAAAATTAGTTACAATCTTACAGGGTGTTCCATAAGATGGTGGCAGACCAAACTTATGTTTTTTTAAATGGAACACCCTGTATTTTATTTTAAATTTAAAATCGGCTTCACTTCCACATCACAACAATGTAAAGTTTTATTATGTTATACCGGGTATCTAAAAAGTTATAACCAATATTACCTGAAAATCGTATCAAGTTTAACTCCCTGTGCAATTAAAAAGGAGTATAGGAACATTGATCTATTGCAACCATAGTTTTTAAATAATTGTTAAAAATTATAAAACATATTCGTTTCCATAATATTCGTTAAATCAAATACAGGGTAAGTCAAAATGCAAATACATTATTTTCTTGGTAATTTTAAATAGAACACCCTGTATTTTATATCACT